ATGTATCTATTTTTCTTTGTATATACATACGCACCCGCTCGGACACATGTATGTATAAGTCATGAAAAAATAAATACTTTGCAAGATATTTAATATTTTATATTAAATATTATTATATTTAAATATTAAATAAACTGTATTAAAATCAGACACAATAATTGCATGACGTTATCTTTTATATTTATATTAGTTGAATAAAATTTTGGTTATTATTTTTTATTTATATTTATTTATGATAATTTAGTCCAAAATTTAATTTAATTGTATGTAAAAAATCAAATAATTTGCTTATAAGTAAATTTATTAAAATATCAAATGTATAAAAAGTACATAAATGTTTTTAACAATTAGTGAAGCAAGCAATACATTTATTAAAGATCAAACCAAATTACCCTAATATTTACAATTACGATAAATTTAAATTTAACGTTTAAAAAAAATATTTTTGACGATGACGATTCCTGTTAACGATGGGTATCCGATTCATATACATGTACAGACTTCGTTCATTAAGTTTGCATGTGCATTATGCTATTTTTGTTTGGCTCGAGTGCACTTGTGCGCTTTAACGTGGCTGCCTTATAATTTGTACTATCCGCGGGAGTTATCGTTCCACATTATTATCCGATAAAGATCTTGCTTGCTTTCAGTTCTTTGAAACACAACCATTAAGGTCACTCATACTTGCATGAGATACGCATGCATTCTTTGAAAAGAGACACTATTACCACAAATTTTGCAATTCCTATTATAGTATACTATACAATCGATTGACGACTCTTCAATTTCCCAGAAAATATTTAATCAAAAGAAAATTATATAGTTTTGCAACAATATAATTATTAGGTATTTCTTAAAAATATTATTTTAAAGAAATCTGTAATCTTTTTCTTCTGTTAAATTTTTTTAATTCCTCAAAATATTGCGTTCTTCCAAGATAATTATAATTATTGGAATATGTTTCACTTTCAAACAGAAACTATATATGTAGTTCTTATCAATAGTAATAGAGCTTCTAAGATAAAATAAATAATATCGAAATTGTAGCCATCAACTTTTAGTACTCTCCTTTCTCTCCACCATTTATATCGGCAACATTATTATGCTTTTTTACATCTTTTTATCAAGGTATTATGTATTTTTATGTTATATAAGCATTAAGAATAATAACAATATTAATGTTTATATGCCTATAAATTTTCGTATGTATTAACTTCTATATCTAAACAAAACTAAAACTTTATCCGCAAATTTATGTAAAATGTAACGAGAAAAAATAATGAGCCTCATTTATCTTTTGCAAGTGTCAATGCAATTTTAATTACACATGTTATTTTATCTGGATGTGCTTAAATTCATCTCTTCATTCAATTCACATTAATTTTATTTAATTACTTAAACAGTAATGGATTGCAACTATTTTACTTGTCCTTCGACTACCCAAACTCTATAGATATATCAGCATTAAAAATACATATTTTAACATATTAAAACATATTTTGAGAGTATTTTTTGCTGCAAGTAATTTTAATTACACACATTTAAATATTCATAAATTAAAATCAATTTTAATTAATAAGTAATTAATATATAATTCATTATTAGTGATTATAACACACAAATAGTGCGAATTGCTTTATTCTTTCTTTTCCTTTTATTAATTTTGCGTAATTGCAAAATTAGCGAATAATCACTGCTCGAAATCGAATATCATAGAATGCCAGAAATAACATCTTTTTTTTATTTTCTCTAACTAGCCAGCGGTTGCATATGTAATTCATTTTGCGAATACACGCGATACAACCACGGCAAGAAAGTAACAGGTATAAAATAATTGCTTCCTATGCGTAATTGCTCGCTTTTTCCACGACAACCATTTGTAGTAATCCGATGATCGCGCTTATTCCCCGTCCGCTTGATAATCGCTTTTCGTGCCGCGCATACGTTACAATGTTAACGACAGAAAAATAATATTAATACGAAGCAATCAGTTGAGGAGGCGTTCCGTGCGGAAATGGCGATTTTATACCGAGGTGACCGAGCGTAACTCACTTATCTTATGCTTGAATAACGTAAGGCAATACAAAATACAAGCTTCGTAACGAGAAAATCAAGATCAAATTTAACAGAAAGAAATTATTAAAAAATAATAATAGGAATTAGCATTATATTACGTATATTCTATTATAATGTATAACTTTTAATGTTTCGGAATTTGGAAAAGATGTATTTGTGAATCCGTGTTTTTTATATGACATTTGTTCATTATCATAATTAATATAATTTAAAAAAAAAAAGGTAATTAAATAATGTGCCATTCATTTCTCGTACATTGATTTCTCGTACATTGATAAACTAAAGTTATCTATCTATGTTGCCGCAACATCACATATGGATGTACGGAGGATGATAACGTCGACTGGGTTACATCGTCGTTGCACCGGTAATCGCATGGCGATCCTCCTGACGGATATTCTCGATTTGTCGCCTTATCTAATCGTAAGCGAATACCAGAATCGCAACCGCGTGTGACCAATCGGACAACAAGATAACTAAATTTACGAATACGACATTCTAGTCAAACCGTGATATCCTATGAATGAACAGCGTGACGTGTGTGCGCTATTGAAAAACACACAATTATTCTACATAGCTATACAGAAATATTCTATATTTTACTTTTAGATTGTTAGTTAAAATAGATTGAATACATCTGAAATTTACATTTATATAAAGTAGTTTAGAGCCTTCAAGTCTTAAATATGTAATGTACCTATTAATCAATAGTATCTTACATACATAATTTTTATAAAAATTTAAAAAAATAGAAAAAATATCTTCAGGCTAAACTTTTACTCAAGAACAGATTACTCGTCTGCTAATTATTACACGCAAAAGTCGAGGAAGAAAGGGTGCTGTTATCCTAAAGATGTTTTCTCCGAACAATGGATAGTGTATCGATCGTCGGAAATAGACGATAAAACAACGCGGAAAGCTCCCTAAATGGGAGTGGTTTATTTTTAGTCTCCTATATATGAAATTTTCACAGTAGGGAAAGTCTCGATTTTGTGCTGACGGAGCGCACGCGCTTTTGGTAGCGCATCAGGAGGAATTTTTCGATGAGTCTGACTCAGCTATCGGTCGCGCGGTGTTGCACACGGTCAATGACACCACTAGATGAAACATTATTCTAAATACGCATATAATTTCTTTGATAATGAGATACAATTGCAATTTTGCACAATATATATGACTATTTTATATTAACATATAATATCAATTAACTCATACTACCGATGAGGAGATAATTCTTTGTGGATCAACAAATTAAAAGTATAGAATAAATTCTTTTGATTAATTCCGTACTTTTTAAGAAAAACAAAAATATTTTGAATATGAAAATTTAGCAAAATACTAATATAAATAAATTAAAATTAAATAAATTAAAATGTGAAAATGAGAATATCGAGCCCAAACCAGATGTAATTGTCGTCGAAAGTCTTCTTTATTGAGAGTTTCTGACAACAAACGTTTCGGTCAACAATTTGACTTTCTTCAGTGAAAAATTCATAACATTCTCGTAATTGAAGTTACTAAAAATATTGTACGATTATCATTTAGAAAGACAGCAGACTACTGTGAGAAACAATATTCAAGTAAACTGTAGTGGGGGAACGGAAAGGAATAGTTACACTATGATTCTTGTCTCCCCTCCTTCTTCCCAATAACTATTTCTTTCCATTCCCCCACTTACAGTTTATTTGAATATTGTTTTTCACAGTAGTCCGCTTTCTAAACGATAATATCTTACAATCTCAAAGATAAGTCTGTTAAAGAAAGTTTTCATTGTTTAAACATAGATTTTGAATAGTTAATATTTTTAGTATTGACCTCAATTACGCGAATTTTATGGACTAGCAATGTTACGGATTTTTCACTGAAAAGGATCAAATTGTTGACCAAAAAACGTTTGATATAAGAGACTCTCAATAAAGAAGACTTTCGACGGCAATTATATTCCTTGATATTCTCATTTCCACATTTTAATTTATTTATTATTGCGAGCTTATACCTTTTTACTTTATACTAGTATTAAATCAAATAGAATGTGCAATCTTTTCGTAATAATTAGCTGGAACATTTCCATAAATTTCTAACGCGTATCAATTTTTAATAATTTAATATATTCTTGATGTGATTATATCTTGCTGTTTCAAAAAATTTATAAAAATAAAAAATAATATTAATGTCTTGAACGTAATATTATGTAAACAAATTTTAGAATTGCACATGACAAACGTCTTGTTAATACATGTATAAATATTTTCGAAAGATCCGTATATATGTTCTATATTTCTTAGTAAAATAACTATGATTCAAAAATATTAGATTGGTGGATTTATCCCAAATCACATATCTTGAACTAGGTGATATTTCTGTTTTTCACTATAATCGCATTAACTAAATTTATAGCCGTTAACGAAATCGGATAGTCAGATAACATATGATTGGCACTTTTCCAATTTGTTGGCAATTTTTGATCTCACTCTAAGAAAATAATTTATTTTTTGTTTCAACATTACAAAAAAGTTCCTTTTCAATATAATGCATACAAAAATATTGACCGTATGATAGATTAAAAATCTCAAATTTTAAAAAATTATAAAAAAATATTAGAACACTCATACGTCTATTATTTTATTAATATTGTTATTATTATATTAATAATTTTTTTATAATATGTTTTAAGATAAATATATATTAAATTATTAAAAATATTAGAGTAAAATTATTAATTATATTTAATATTGTATATGCGCCATGAAAAATTTGTAGACTGACAAATATAAATTTAAAAGCGCATTTAAAAATTAAGTAGTACATATTTCGTATAATTTTGCACTAAAATATTCTCTGATTTGAATAAATCAACGATCAAGTATATTGTAACATCAAATAACAGAAATGAAAACAGAAAAGAGAAAACAGTGTTTACATACTTTGGCGTCCCGACTCTTCATCTCCTGTCTTCTGGGCACGATATTTTCCCCATCGGCGTACACGAGATTCCTAATAAATCCATTGAATCTGGACTCGAATATCACGCTAGGCAAAGCCAACAATGTGAGTTTGCTATTATACCAGCTAGGCATACCGCCCACGTAGACGTCCGAGTTCCCGGCAAGCTTGCCGAATTCAAACTCCTTACCCCGCGATGTAGAGACCGCGCTAACACCATCCACGGTTAGAGTAGTATTCTCGTTGGATCTGGTGATCTGCACTTTGTGCCAATGGCCGTCGCCAAGATCGTGACCGACTGTGACAATCTGTGCACCACCGCCGAGATTGTACCTCAGCCTAAGCGCGCTTTCGACCAGTTTAACCTCAAAAAAGTCATAAGTGCCGCCATCGTCTGTGTAAAGTAGCAGCCCGTTACCTTGCTCTGTCTTGAATTCGAATTCCAGGGTACCGTTCAGGCCGGCATTCCATTTGCGAAATTGCGCGTAGCTCGTTGCAGAGCCCTCCAGTAGAAAGGAACGGGCTACCTGACTGGCGAGCAATACCACCAGCAGTAACGGCGTCGGCAACAGCGAGGGGGGATGCATGATTCACTTTTGAATTGGCCGTGCTAGATCCTTCGCTCTTTCATTCGCTCTTTTGTGTGGGCTTCTACACACGCGATTACGTCACGCGTTTATACTCATCCCGCGTAGGAGTTCAAAGCGTGGATGCGTGACGTCGGCCACGTTGTACTACCCGGCTGCATTCGTGAGCACGTGACTGCGCACGCGCGGATTGTGTATGGTAGGTGTGATATGCAGGGTTTACGAACGTACGCGCTGTCTCGTGCGTGCTCTCCTCTTGCCGTATAAATATGACAATGTCTTTGATTAATAGAGCGGTCCTTGAACTTTTGTAATTTCTTATCGAACAAACTCGTCGTAGCGCGTAGAAGAACTTGCAAGCGTCTATTATCTTCAATCGGATGCGTTCGTTTCAAATGTTTGCAATTTAGCTTCGTTACTAAATTCAGGGTTTTCTTTTGAAATAAGTTTCAATGATAAATATTTACGAAAATGTTTTTGATAATATTTGTAAATTATAAATCGTATATTCGTAAATTTGTAATTAATCATAAAATAATATTTTTAGATCTTATCTTCAATAAAATTACTTTGATTGGCGTAAAACTTGTTTGCATAATTGTTTCCATAAAAAATCGGTATTTCAGGATATGTGTCTGATTTCAAATTCAGTCAATCAGTTAGTCAAATGCATGAAAATTATTAGTGCAATATGTTAATGTATGGAAACAACGCGGGTAAGAATTCACATCTTCTCTTAACGCGCGTAAATATTTCTGAGTTATGTCCAATCGATGAACTGGTTGATAACGAAAACTTTCTCGAAGAAGAAATACTTTAATCAAATGTTTATCGCATTCACTTCTGTGCCTTCTCACTTGCACTAATAATTCAAAATCAAACAAATTGTAAAATGATAGTATTTCTCTCCAACACTCGATTAAGTTTACTACCTAATGCTGATTAATACAATGCGAGTTCCTTGTACTAATGACATATTTTTACAGAAGATTGTCAATTTTGCGATTTCGGTCACTTAAATACATTTCAAAGAGCAGAAGTAGTATTCACGCTTTATAGTCAGACGTTCTACAAAACAAGCATGTTTTTCCTTTACAAATTATCCTTCACAAAACACAGTTAATTTTTCATTAATGATGATCGTCAGCAACATTTATGATAGCACATTTAGCGAAGATGTATTAGTTCTTCACAAAATGATGATAAAATATTTTATGCATATATACACATATCCATTGAAAAAGTCTTTGAATTGCCTATTCTAGACAGTAATTGTCGGCGGTGATAAGGATATGGACAAATTTCAACAACTGTTAGAAGATCGTTGACACGACTTCCAGTTTCTTCGTGTTTCTCAGACTTGTCATTGCACAGCAATCCAATGATAATTATCGCGACAACGAGAGAGCCGTCACCGCTCGTATCGCTTCGTATCAAGAATACTTAGCTGCGATTCAGCCCTCGAATCTTCTTGTCGCGTCGATGGCACACTTTCACCGGGACTCCTTTAGCGTGCAATATGTATACGTTCTGGAAATGGCTGGAATCGGCTCGCGAGAGCAGACTAGTCCGAATCGCGAGGGATGTCACCTAACCTCGAGCTTCATCTCCGACGACGGAGGTCATCAAGTGCAGAGCAGTCCTAGCGACAAGCGACACGACCTCGACCTAATCACGCGATGAGCACTTTCACCACACAGCAACTCTATCTCTCTCCCTCTCCGACTTCGCGACGCAGAACTGCGAGAGAGATCGCGGATGATCACTCGGTATGTCCGCGACGACACCCTTCTTTGTGGCGAGCTCGTGATTGGCGTTTAATGGCGCCGGCACGGTGCGGATCGCTCGTTATAAGCCGTCAGGCGACTAC